TATGTACGACATGTCGGTTAAGCGCGTAGCTAAATGTATCTGTATATGCGAGTGTTTGGGTTGTGTGTGTATCTGTATATGTGTCTGTTTGGCGAAAAAGACAAGATTTGTCTCCAATTAAAGGCTGTTGTTTGTTGGCGATGGGTTACTCCGTCGCTGCTGCTACTGCTACTTCTGCTACTGCTGCTGGTGCTGCTGCTACTGCTACTGCTCCTCCTGCTGCTGGTGCTGCTGCTACTCCTACTACTTCTACTGCTATTTGCTACTGCTGCTGCTACTGCTGCTGCTACGCCTGCTACTGCTGCTGCTGGCGGTGGCGGCTGATAATTGGCGACTGATAATGGCTTCAGTAGCGCGTCAGTGTGAACGACGATCTGTTTACAACTTGAGCAATTAGCATATTTTTCCGTTTGGAAGGAGGAGTACCGCACCGCGGAGTGCTGTGCGACGCGTCACCACCTTTCCAGAAACACAACATAGCTTCCCCCCGAGGTTGGGCGGAGGGGCGTTTTTCCTTGTCTCGACACGAGCAGCACCGGTCGTGCGGTCGTTATTGCGGCTGTGGCTTTAGGCAGTGGTGCACGCAGGTGTGTAGAGATATGCTTGGGGTCCGTTCAAAATATACTATCCCGTTGGCTGTTGGTTTGGCAGGGTCGGGCCGCCTCCAACGTTGAGGTCGTCGTATCTGATCGCATAAAAAGTATAGACCGTTCGTATGGCTATGGTATAATGGTAAGTGAGTTTGTTAAGTTTGGATTCTCCGGTTCTAGTGTTTGTTTGCGTTTGTGTAGCGGTGCTGCGGTAGTTGAATTGCGGTGCTGTGAGGTCGCGGATTGTGGTCGTCGGTTGCAGTCCGTGGGGCCTGGTGGTAAAGATGTAGTTAAAATGGAGTGCCCATAACGACCATCCATCCTTTGTGTCAAATAGCAGCGGGCCAGGGATGATCGCCAGCAAAGGCCCCTCAAAAGCTTTTCAAACGCTGCTTTAACTGCATCAAGCTCTGGGCGAATATCATCAGACCCGTAGCAATTGTAGCAAAGCACGTAAGTATGGTCCAACAGCAATTTCGGAAGGGAATGTAATGCGGACATGTGCGTCGGGCATGCTTGGTTGCCAGCGGGGCACGTCTGACCTTTATCACTAACCGCAGCAAAAGTGCTGAGCCGCCGTTGTCCATCAAAAGCCTGGTTGTGGCCTATTGCTCTGTTCCGGCGTGTTGTTTTGTTGCTCCGAGACCAACGATGGGTCGTTAGTGTGGTTACCGTGCGGACGTACGCCTCCTCAGCCCTGCGTAATCTGGTTACCCGTTACCACCTTCGATTCTGTGAAATTAGTAATGCAGTTTTAACGAGGAAAGTCAGCGGCTTGAGAACATTGAAACGCGCATTTCGCAGATCACGCGTTTCCAATGTTAAATTGCTTTAGGGTATCACGGTAGCATGTGCTGCTGACCTGGATTAGGTGTCGGGGCCCAAAGTTCTAATCGTCCTCGAAACACTTCGAATGGCGACACCAGCTGTTGGCTGTCGCGTGCGCATCCTCAAGGACTACGCAACTGTCCGCTATATCGGCCCGGTAGCTCAGCAGCAAGGCACCTGGGTGGGCGTGGAATGGGACGATCCTACGCGCGGCAAACACGATGGCAGCACCGCTGGTGTCCGCTACTTTACTTGCGCTTCCGGCACCACATCCGGGTCCTTTGTCAGAATCGAACGCGTGAACTTTGGCGTGACGATACTGGACGCACTGCGCGCGCGTTACAACAACGAAACAGCCGAGCATGGCGAGATCGTCGCGCCAGAGGAGCTCTATGTGCATACGTCCCGCAGGCGCCGTCTGCAGGTTCAGCTCGTGGGTGAAGACAAGATACAGCAGAAACAGCGTCAAATCCACATGCTGACTTCGGCAAGGCTAGTAGGACTCGATGTCTCAGCCGTGGTAAGCGGGATCGACCTGTCAACGTGAAATTGCTCTAAGCCCAACATACGCCTTCGTATGAAACTCAGCATGTAAAGAACGGTGCCAAGGCTCCGGAGCGAAGGGCCGTTGCCATACCCACACCATAGCTACTGTTAAAACCAACAAAGCGCCGGACCCTAGCCGGGTCCTATTACTGTGGCTACCATTGCCTGATATATGAGTGTCGATCATTTCCAACCGTCACCCGAAAGATATAGAATACCTTTATAACCTTAACCTGTATAATTTTAGGTTCCTGCCCATCATGGTCCCGTCTTCCCCGCCTGCAATCGCCGGTGCTTCCCCTTTCCCAAGCCGACCCGCACCCGCTGCTCTCATACTTCCCTTTGATTCTCTCTGTCTCTCTCACTCCTTACCTACCTTTCCCCTCCCCATCCTCCCCCGCTCCCTCGCTTCCCCCTTTTTCCCGCTTCTCCCCCGCTTCCCGCCTACCCCCCCCCCCC